CACCGGGAATGTGCCACAGATCCCACCGGGAATGTGCCACAGATCCCACCGGGAATGTGCAGGGGAACCCTGCCCAAAGATCACCACACAAAAGATCTGTAAAACATACCTTTTCATTTCCTTATCATTCTTTACTTAAGTTAAATAATCAAATCAAAGTAAGATAATAAAAAATAAAGCTTGTTTGTTTTACAATACCTTATAGTTGAACTACTTGTGTTATTATCAGCACGTACGTGTAAATAAATAAATATATATGTGTATGCATCAGTCCTGGCAGTTTGAGTGGGTTGCATACATATATTTTTAGATATATTAAACACCCTCATCACTCCTTTCTCTAAGGAGGTAAATCAGGCTATAGCGGCGGAAAAAAACCCCCAGACGAGCCCATAAATCCCAGTTCGTTTTTTTACAAACGCTCACAAATTCCAATGCAACCCCCGCCGACAGCCCCGAGGTCCCCGAGCTCCAGGGGGAGGGAAGGGAGGCCCCAGCACCGCCCTCCCCTCACGGTTCCCCTTCGGCCCCGCCGCCCCTCACCTGCCGGAGCTCCGCGACCCAACCGGAACCGGAACCGGAACCGGAGCCCGCGGGGGCGGGGCCGAGAAGGGGGCTGAGCTGAGGGGGAGCGGTCGGGGAGGCGTGGCCTCACTTGTGGGCGTGGTTTATTTGGAAGGCGTGGCTTCGCGAAACGCCGAACCTCTTGTGGGCGTGGTCTCAATCGGGGCGTGGCCGGGATGGGCGTGGCCGCAGCAGGGCGTGGCCGGCAGGGGGCAGCACGTGGCCGCGCGGGGAGGGGGCGGTGTGAGGGCGGAGCGCCCCGGGAACCTCCCGGGAACCCCCCGGGAACCCTCCGGGAACCGCCCCGGGACACCCCGGGACACCCCAGGAACCCCCCGAACCTCTCCGGGAACCCCCCCGGGACCCCCCGGGAACCGCCCGGGAACCCTCCGGGAACCCCCCGAACCTCTCCGGGAACCCTCCGGGAACCCCCCTAGAACCCTCCGGGAGCCCTCCGGGAACCGCCCAGGAACCCTCCGGGAACCCCTAGGGAACCCCCCGAGAACCTCCCGGGAACCGCCCGAGAACCCCCCGGGAACCGCCCGAGAACCACCCCCCGGGACACCCCGGGAACCCCCCCGGTGTCCCCCGCTCCGTCCCCATCCCCAGGTGTAGCCCCTCCCACGGGTGTCCCCTCTCTCATGGGTGTCCCCCCTCCCTCGAATGTCCCGCTCTATGTGTGCCCCCCCATCCCTGGGTGTACCCTCTCCAGGATAACCCCGCCGGCGTGTCCCTTCTCCCAGGTGTCCCTTCCCCCGGGTGTTTCCCAGCCCCGGCTGTCCCCCTTTTCCCCGGCTGTCCCCCTCTTCCCCGGCTGTCCCCCTTTTCCCCGGGTGTCCCCTTTCCCCGGCTGTCCCCGCTGTCTCTGGAGGACCCGTCCAGGACGGGCTGGGTTTGCTGGGAGGGGACACCCAGTGGCTGCTGCCTCCCCGGGGCTCGGGGGACTCTGGTGCTGCCCCCTGGACCCTGCCCTGCTGAAAGAGCTACCAGGGGACGCTTTAGCCCAGGATTTATTGGTGCTATTACCATAATCATCATTATTTTTATTTTTTTTTTATTATTATTCTGGAATCTGCCAGCGCGGGGAGCTCTGGAGAGCGGCAATAACTGAAGCCGCCTTGGGTTTCCTATTTACGTATTTATTTTATTCCGGTGGAGCGCTTCCAGATTCCAGCAGGCAGCCGTGGCCCCGGGGCAGAGGGGGCGAGGAGGAGGCCGCGCCGGCTGGGCATTTTTGTGATGTGTTGTCACGGTCACCCCTGTTTCCCACCYTTCCTTTCCCCACACAAAGTGGGGTGCCAGGGTGGGGGCACCATCAGGGCAGGGCAGAGGGCACTCTGGGGGGCTGGTGGCCCTGGTGCCACCGGGACTGGGTGCTGTGTGGTGGCACCYCAATGGGCAGCTGGCCTGGATGTCCCCCTTGCGGCCCAGGTGTGCCCTTGGGTGGGGTTTGGGGAGTGTCATCCCCGTGTTTTCCTGAGTAGAGGTGGAAATAACCCCATCCAACCCGGCGCTAAGCAGAGGAAGGGTGAGGGGATTTTTCCTGCTGCATAGAGGATTCTTCACACCTGGATGAGCTGGCTTTGACCCAGAGCAGCCCTGCTGGGGGTACTGCACGTCGGGTGGGCTGGGCAGCTGAGACCCTCATTCCAGACCCAGCACCTCCTCCTGCCGCTGGGTAAAACCACACCCTCTGTGTTCCCGGTAAAGCCCAAACCCTCCATGGTCCGGTAAAACCCTGGACCCTCCACAACTGCGGTGGCAGCACCAGATACAAACCCTGTCCCATGTCTGTGTGGTGCTGGTGGGGACCGTGCAGCGTCCAGCCCTCCATCAGACACCGTTCTGGGGACAAATCCCTCTGCATTCCYGCTGGGAATGGAGGGCTGGCAAGCCAGGGTCACCCCACTGCCACCTCTGACCCCAAGCTGTGCTGTCCCTGGGGATGAGAKGGGACACTGGGCTGCCCTYTCCAGCCCAAATGTGCYTTCAGGAGCCCCACAGAGGCTTTGYCCCCAYMCTGGTAAAGCCCTGCTTGAAAGGAAGTTTTGGAGGTGCAGTGTGGGACCAAACCTGGCCACAAATCTGCCCTGGGAGGTGACAAACCAGGAGACCCGTGGGCTGAACCCTTCCCTTGTGTGCACGGCGAGTCCAGGCTCTCAGGAGTCCTTCCCTGGAGTGTCCCTGCCATGACCACCCCACCAGCCACAGACCCCGGGGAGGTGACTCCCCATCCCCACGTTTCCTGGGAACAGAAATTTTGCAAACAGGGCCATTGCTGGTCCCGTGGCTGGAGGGGCGTTTGAGTGTCCGGCTGAAATAACAGCGCCGGGCTCTGCCCCCTTCCTCCCCATGGCCTTGGCGGGGCGGGCTCGGAAGAATGCGAGTTGGCCATCCATCAGGGAGACACAGCAACAGCCAGCCGAAGAAAGAGGGGCATTTTAGGAGGAAAGCCAGGGAAATTTGATCATTAAGAAATCCTCCTGGCTGTCTGGGGGAATTTAATTAAATTGCTGGAAAGGGCTGTAAGCACATCTGGATCCAATATGTGCAGCTTTGATTTTTTTCTTTCTTTCTTTCTTTCTTTTTTTTTTTTTTTTTTTTTTTTTTTTTTTCTTTTCCCATCTCGCTGTTGAAGGAGGGGGGGGGAATAAAAGGGAAATAGCAGAGCCACGGAGTATTGGTTCATCTGGGACTGACTGGGATTCCTGGCAGGGAAAGAAAGAGAGGGAGAGAAAGAAAGAGGCAGAAAGAGAGGGAATAAGAAAGCTGGRAGAAAAACCTTCTCCAAGGGGCTGGCTGGGGTGTTTTATAATGCCACCGACCGCAGAGACAGGGAGCTAGGAGGGAATGGGGGGAGTTGTGGGGGCTGGAGGGGAGAGGAGCAGGAGAGGAGCCAGCCCAGGGCATGCTGTACTTTTGGGGTCTGGCAGGGATGGAGGGAGAAAGAGAAGTTGTTCTGTGGACACAGAAACCCCATTCCTGCTGGAAAAGGCAGGGCTGGGCTTGGGGGACTCCTCCAGCAATTCCCCCTGGCTGTCACCCCTGTGGGCAGCCCTGTCTGGCCCCTGCCCAGTGCCTGGTGCCGTGGTTGGAGGGGCTGATCTGGTCCCCAGCCTGTCCCCAGCAGGACACGGGGCTGGGCAGCCACCCCAAGAGCCATCACTGGGTCCTGGCCCTGTCAAACCCCAGCATCTCCCACACTCTGCTCCTTCCCACCTCCTTACTCTGACCATGGAACAGAGGTGCAGCTCCACAGTCAGAGAAAACCTTCCCCTATGGAGCCAGCCCAGTTYCTCTGCACCAAAACAYCCACMRRGCAAGATTTTGGGAATATTAAGAAYACTTGGGTACCAGAGGGAGCTGCACCCTCCCAAGCAGTGCTCCATGGATGCTGCACTGCCCCAGCCCATGGTTTTGGGGTGAGGAGGGGGCTGRGGCTGGCAGAGCMCATCCAGATCTGTGCCATGCTGAGCACCACGGGAGCCACAAGGTGTTATCACAGCATGAGAGAAATAKCAGGAAACTCCTAGGACAACACAGAATATGACTGCCAAAAAAATAGAATTTTTTCTTCTTTTTTTGAGAGGAAGATGAAGGACTGGCAAACAGAAACACATTCATCCCAAGGGCTGGCAAAGCTGGCAGGCTCTGACCAGAGAGATCCTCACTCTGAGGAGCCCAGCACAGCTTTGCCAATTCAGAGCCTCTCAGGTTCATCAGCCTGACAGCTCTGGCTCAGCAAAGCCAGACTCAGAGCTCACACCCTGCTCAGCAAAACCCAGTGTCAGATAAAGCAAACCTGCTCAGCTTTATCTCCAAACCACCCACGTTTTGCCCAAAGCCAGTAATCACCTTGCCAGCTTCAAGGTCCATTTTACATCACTTAAAACACAATTTTTACTAARAAGATAAATGATAAAAACTTCCACTAGTGGGTTAGGAAACACCAGAAATGCGTGTCAAACAACCAGGTCTCACTTCGGATGCCTTGTGTGGCTGGTGGCATTAAAAAAAATTGTGCTGAGGAAAAAAAAGGGCAAATCCTACAGCTAAAAAGGAAATTGCATTAATACAGATTGTTTTATTTAAAAAAAGCAAACCCTGACCTCTACTTCAAAAAAGTCATTAGACATTCTCCTTCTGAAAGGCCGACAGGGGATATTACTGAAAGGCCAGTTAATTTCTCAATGACTTACTGTTCTTGCTCTGCTCATGGAAATGTGTAAAGAGTCGGAGGGTAATTTAAGGCACCCTGCAGAAAGGTGTGTAAATCTTTGCATGTCTAAAGAAACTTTACCAGACCGCTAGGACTGGGAAAAAAAGAAAATGCTTGCCCTCTTTTTTTTTCTTTTTTTTTTCTTTTTTTTTTTTTTTTTTTTTTTTTTTTTTTTTTTTTTTTTTTTTTTTTTTTGTACTTTCCTTTGGAACTCTGATCCCCTTTGATCATAAAAAAGGTCATATTTCAACCAAAAAAATATCAGCAATCACAGGGCCCGAGGAAGTGCGAACCCAAGGGGGTTTCACCGACGATTATTCCCTCCATTTAATTATTTAATGCCGTGGACTGAGGGAAAGCTGTCTCCCCTGGAAAAGCCAGACAGTTCAAGAACAAGGTCTGGTCCTAAACAAGGAGGAGGAAGAGGGTTATAAATGGGGCTGGGGCTGCTCCATCCCCGGCTCGTGCCCTCACCCCTCCATGGGCCACCACCAGCCGCCCTACAGCCACCCCAAAATAATCACAGCAAGATGTTCCCAGCCTCTGGGGCCAAAAGAGGGATGCTGGGGGTCCCCAACAGCCAGTGCCCATTGCTGATGGGTCACTGCCCTCCAAGGGGAGGTCTCCACCCCCAGGCTGACCCTTGAGCAGTTTTCCCTGGACATGGGGTCATCCCCATCCTGGGAAGGGTCTGTCCCTGCAGCCACAGTGGAAACCAGCAGGATCAAGGACAAGGACAAGGACAAGGAC